GATGATCTCCTCAGACTTTGCTGACAGCAGATTTGGGAATATCAGTGAAGGGCCTTGCAAACATGTGCAAATCTTGACCCAGCAAGTCAACATTATAAAATAAACCTGAAGGAAATAATTAAATATGTATATAAAAATATATAATAGTAACAGCTAACAGTTGTTGACTAACATGTGGAGTCTCTGGACTCACAGCAACCCACATCCATCTCTTCATTTAATCCTCACATTGGTATAGAGGCAGCAGCTGCTATTACAGATGACAAAATAAACCAGGCAGGTTTAAATAACTTGTGCAAAGTTAAACAGAGAGTAGAAACGCAACTTGTCTAACTCCAGAATGCATGCTCTTAACCTCTGCTATCTTGTATCCTGTGGAGATGTGCACCTGAGTACTTTCTAGAATGAAAAAGAATTGCAACCAGTCTATATATTTGAGAATAAGGGGCTGATTAAAAAGTTATAGTACATCTACCTAATACATGGCCAAAAAATGTCATACTCCAGCAGAACTTGAATAACATCAGAAAAGACACTCTATACCATTACATGAAAAAAGCCTGTTAAAAGGCAGTGAATATGTAGTATCATTCCAATTTTGAAAACATTTTTATGTTACGTTATAGGGTGGTATATTTAAAAGATGATAGTGGTATGATAAAATGGTAAGTAGTGTTTATCTCTGGTCTGCAAGACTGTTATTTTCTTCCTTCTACTTTTTGTATGTCTCCAAATTTCCTACTATGACAACTTATAACTTTTAATCCAAAAAAAAGCTATTTAGAACATATATAGGAAGAGAGACATGCATACACTGAACAAGCATGTAGCTGATTAATATTTTTAAAATGTTAATCTAAAATTTGAGAAGATTTATCTCTGATTAACAATCAGGAGGAGAAAAGTGCAGAACAGTACATACATGGAAGTCACTCTGTTTCTAGGAATCTGCAAGTCTTCCTAAGTCCTTTTCGCCCTTCAAAGACTAATGAGCCCTTGCTAGGGGACAGGGGTCAAGGAGAGCTCTTGGTGTGACAGTAGCATGAGGCTCCACCACATTTGCTATGAGAAATTCTAGCAAGCTTTCTTAAGGAACTCTGATCAGTAAAAAGATGTTCTCAAAGCAATGGCTGCTATCTTCCTCTTCCCCCCTGAAGTCCCAATGTATTAGAAGTACACACAGTAAACTCAAAGTGATCAAAGGAAGTCTTCGGTTTTTCTTAATTTTAACCCATACTTTAAATAACAAAAACACACTATTACACTTTTGAGAGACTCTGACAAATAATCCAAATCTTGCACAGTGCCTGGCAATTAACAGGGCATCCAATGAATATAGAATGAAGGAATAGTGAGTGAACGGTTCACTCTTGGCCCAGCCAGTAAGGGAGAAGTTTGGGGGTATAGGAGCCATATTTATTTTATACTCTTGGATAACCCACTCTAGTACCAGTGCCAAGAATGTATGAAGACGAGAGCATGTTCACAAAAGGGAAGGGAGATGGGGCTTGGCCTTCACGTCTGGAGTGTTCCTGGCCTAATGGGTGATTCCTCAATTCCAAGATCCACACTGTTTAATCTAACTAGTAGTGAGAATCACAGATACTGTTCTCCACTTTTTTTTTAAATTTTATTTTTCAATTACAGTTTACATTAATTAGTATTTTTATATTCCGCTTTTGATTTGATCTTGCACTGTGTTCATTTCTCAGCTCTGGTTGAACCTCAGTTTGGATTCTACTCTATCTGCAATGTCCTCCTGGCAGAGACAGCTGGCCTTGTGATTTTCAGCTGCTAGTTATTAGTTTTTCAGGACATTTCTCAGATGTTCATGATTATTTTGTCTGTCCCTAGGAAAAGGAAGAAAGAAAACAAGACAAATATCTTGTTCGAGGACCACAAAGAAAAGTGATAAAAACAAGATCTTTCCATACCACTCTTTGCTTAGCACAATTGAGCTAAGGTGCTTTTTCTTTTAGATTAGCAAACCCATCTAAAATGTCACATTTCTTTTCATTAGTGTCGCCTTACAGAAAAATCTGTCGTCTTTGAAACCTTTCAGCCCGTTCTGCTCCCCTGTCCGTATCCAGTTGGCCGCAAAATCCTGTTGCTCCTCTCTCTCCATTTTGAGCCCATCTTTTTTTTCCTGACCTCAGAGCAGCTTTTTGGTTCAGCCCTCGATAGGGCATGCTCTAATCTGCTGCAACTGTCTTCTTCCTCCATATCTTTGCATGATCAAATACATGCTCCATATTGCTGCCAGTGTTATCCTCCTCAGACTCGCATCTGATCTAGTTAACAACTGCTATCACCCAGCAGCCTTTCCATGAAAGCACTCCTCCATCATTCCGTTAATAATCCTGCTCAGTCCACTAGGTCCTGTAGCCTAACCCCCTCCCCACCCTACCCCCTGTCACCCTCACAGAGATAGCTCAGGATTACCAGAGAGAGGCACAGGATCAAGGCCATCTGGATCCATCTGCTGTAGGTCATGTGATTGGCCTGAGATTATGAAATGACTCACGTGACTGGCCCTATACTGATTAATCAAAGTCCACCCTGGGACCTTCTGCCAAAGCTGGCAAGAAAGACTCTCCTCTCAGTGATGCAAGCTCCAAGGACAACTGAGACTGGACTATCTGGGACATTCCAATGAAGAATACAGCCAATACCTAGACAAGCAAAGGTCATGGATAATGAAAAGCCAGAGAAGTGAATGCGGAAGGCTCTCACAAATGTAAACATGTCCCTGGAGCCACTAGACCCTCTGCCATCTTGGACTTACCAGGTGTGTGAGCAAATAAAGGCCTTTTATTTTTCCTTTAAACTATTGTGAATTGCCCACTTGACACTTTTGTGTGTAATAGTCTTAACACACACATCTCCACTATTTAGAAACTTTTAATAGCATCTTCCTTCCTACAGAGGGAAAAAACCAAACTCCTTAGCACAATATTCAAGTTCTTCAGCAAAAAGGCCCATCTCAGCTTTTCAGCTTTAACTGTCCTGTCCCAGCCTTGAGAACTTGCAAATATTAAAATAAAAATAAAATCCGTACTCTCTGCTATAGCGACCACAGGCCCTGATTTCTGCTCCCATGCCATTGTTCATACTTGCTGAATCTGAATCATTCTTCTGTTCTCTCCTTCACACTCAGTCTTCCAAACCCAGCTCATATTCGGCACCAGGATCATATTTTACATTACAGCTTTCATATGTGTGCATATCTCCCTCCTACTGGACACTCTGCAGACAAGGAATGAATCTTTCTAAAGTTTCATCTCTAGCACTTGACAGTCTGCTGATAATATTTTTATAGCAGAGAGCAGACACCTCATACATGTTTGCAGCTCTGATCAGAAATGGAAAGAATGAGGATTGATACATGTTAAATTCTTAATTCTTCCTTACATTAGAATTTTTCAAAAATTAACCATATCACCATACAACCCAGGAACTCTATTCTTGGGTATTTATCCTACTGAAACAAATTAACGTTCCTATAAAAAACCTGTACATAAATGTCATCAATTAAAAAAATAACTATTGATATAAATAGGAAGGGAATTATGCTGATTGAAAAAAAGCCAATCTGAAAAGATTACATAGTATGATTCCATTTATCTAATAATCTTGAAATGACAAAATTACAAAAGTGGAGAGCAGATCAGTGGTTGCCAGGCATCACGAATGAGGGTCAGGCAGACGAGTAGAGTCATAAAAGGCCACCACAACAAATCCTTGTGGTGATCGAACTGTTCTGCATCTCAACTGTATCAATACACTGGTTATGATATTGCACTACAGCCTAGCAAGATGTTACTATTGGAGGAAAGTGGGTAAAGGACCACAGAATTTCTCTATATTATTTCTTACAACTGCATGTGAATTTATAATTATCTTAAAAAGTTAATGAAAAAAAAAAAACTAACCATATTCCAAATCTGAACCGAAAACAGATTCTCAAGGAGTACTTTAAAAATAATCTTAGTTTCAAACTAAAGATCTCAGTGTGACTAGACAATACAGCAAGTTTGCCTACAAGAAGCAAGGAGCTCCCTCAAAAAGAGGCAGAGCTGTTCTCATCAACACAAGAGAAGAGAAATTCTTTACATATGAAAACTATTTTTAGGAACTGGAATAGCAAAAGAAATGACAAATACTAACAAGAGAAGTGCCCCTGCCCAGAACACTGAGTGGGGGAACCCTGAACCATAGTCCGTCTCTACAACTATAGGGCTGGGCTTCCATGGGGATAAATAACAGCCACTGATCTGTGAAATCTGATCTGTTTGCCATTTAGATCCATGTGACTCACTGAGGCTGGCTGCATTCATATCTAAAAATACAGGAAATCTGCAGCCTACGCAAACTTGGCTCACTGGCTCATGGGTTTTTGATTCGAACATGGCACTTTCACAGATAGTAGCTTCATATTTATATCAGCCAGCTGCAAAGGAGGTTCTGCTGCTCAAATGAGAGACTAGGCTGAAATCTAGAAGCAAAGAGAATCAGAAGAATTATCTGCTTATATATATTTCATCTGGGAGTCACATGATGCCTTCTCTTTAACAGGGAACATGAGACCTGAGGTCCTCTGTAGGCTAGAAGGATGCCCTTCCTCAGGTGTTAGGTGTGCCGCACTAAATGCCTGTCTCCGGAAAGGACGGAGGGACTCATGAGGTATGAAAGACAGAGTAGGGTGCGGTGGTCACATGAGTGACCTAGCGCCACTGAGACTGTCAGTGGCTACAAACAGAAAGGGTGTGGTGCCTTGGACCTGCCACTTTTGGTTTCATCCAGTTCCATTCAACACCTCTTCCAGCAATTCCACAGCCATGAAAGTGGGCAAGTGAGGCAGCTTATTTCTGAGAGTTACCTCTTGGAACACTCTGATTCCTTCTCTAGGGGATGTCCACACATACAGACCTGGTGACTCTTCAGAGGTGCCCTCTCCATGCCCCCTGGGGCCTGTCTGGCAGAGCCGGGGCTGCACTCACCCATCAGGATACTCAGCAGCTTCTGCACTCTGGAATTGACCCCCACGATTCGGTAGAGCCCTTGCTCATTGATCCCTGAGAAGAGAAACAGATGATTTAATTAGAGGTACATGAAAACACGAGTCAAGTCAACCCAGCCAAAGGCACTGTTCTTATTTTCTCAGTCCTTCTAAAAGCCGCTTTAATTAAAGTCCCTTGTCACTCAGCTCTGCTCTTAGCAAAGGAGTGTGATTGGTACAGCTGTCTAGGATTTCACGGATGTGCTGCACACTTCAGCCCTCATGTTAGCTCAGTCATCAGAAGGGAAAGAAACCTTCCTCTTCCCTTGCCAAAGGCAGCATCTGAAGAGTTTTGAAAGATGCAAAATATATACTTTAAATAGATCGCAGTTAACGGGTTTTTTAATTTAAAAAGCCAAAAATGACATGATAAAAATTCATACTTCAGAAAAGGATAAACACTTCAAAACTTATTTTCACATACAAAATGAAAATATTGAGATTTAAGGACATTTTAAATTTTGAAGAATGTTAGCCAAGACTGAGAAATTAGAAAATCCATTCATTTGTAATGAAAATATTCATTTTAAAGAAAAAGAAGGACCATCTTCTTTCAACCCAAGTAAATGTACAACTAGACCGGAAGGGGGCTACCTTCAAACGTCTAAACAAAGAACGAAAAACTAACCCACCTCAGTACTTTCTTCGTTTAAGTACAAGGATGAGATCACCCCTGTATCCTTTACAAAAGAGGATAATTCAGACCAAGTGATATAAAATGACTTTCCTCCTGTTAGTCCTAGGTCCATCATACCTGATACCTCTCAACTAACTGGTCTCCTGCTTCCTATCTTATTTCCTTGATGTCCATTTTCAACCACTAGCCAAAAAGAACTTCTCAAAAGTATAAATCAGTTCAAACCATCTCTTTTCTAAACCTTCCCATGGCTTCCCATTGCATTTAGATCACAATCAAGCCCTACTGTGCCTATCCGGCTCTACACGATGGAGCACAGGCCTCCCTCTGACCATATCATCAACTACTCTACTCTGCTCCAGCTACACTGGCCTTCCTGTTACTCTGACGTATCAAGCTCAGGCCTCCAGTCACAGCCTTTGCACAGGATTTCCTCCACCCGGAGCCCTCATTTCCCAGGTCTCAGCTTAAATGCAACCTCTTCAATCTAATGCATCCCATGACCAACACTGCTGGCCAGTATCTGGCCCTCCTTTTTTTTTTTTTTTAATAACAGTTAATAATATCTAAAATCATCTTTCTTCTTTGGTTTCTTGTCTTTCTCCCTACAACTACAACGTAAACTCATGGTCCAATGACTGTCTTCCTCACCATTACACCCCCAGCACCCACATCAGTATTACGACACAGGACAGAATGAATAAAACAGTGAGTTACACTCCATCAGAGCCACTACTTTGGAGCCAAAACAAAATTTCCTGGAAGAAGTTTGGGAGAAGGCTGATTCTGCAGTGTCTGCTACAAGACATATATAGAAATGGAACTCATGAATAAAATCAAGTGGTCTGGAATGAGGGGGCTCTACAGCTAAAACAGACCTATGAAAGCACATCATCATCCTGCATGGTTCATGGGCTAGGAGACCCTGGTCAACAACTAAGGGATGGGACGCAAGTTACTCGGTAGCAGAACCATTCTTCAGTAACGTGGTGGCTTGAAAGGCTTGTCCTTTCTGAAGTGTCAGCTCTTTCCTTTGTCCTTGTGCTTTCCTGGAAATTGGCACAATCCCAGCTTCCATCGGACAATGATTAATGAGCCCCAGAGAACATGGGGGTTCTGGTCACCTATGGCCACTACAGTTATATGTGTACATATATGCACTGCAGTAGGGAAATGGCCACTTCCTTCAAGTATTTACATAAATACATGACTCACACTGTCCTTTTGTCCTCTTTGTACTGAATGAACTTTCTTAGAAGTTAAAACATCATTTTCAGAGGCAGAAGCTAAGGGGCCAAACCAACTAGTGACCTTCTTCTTCCTCACTCATTACCATTTATATTTCCTGGCTTGACATCAGAAAAAGTCACCCTCCTGAGGTATGGGTTTGCATTTATCACACAGACTCTGTGAAGGGTTTTAAATGATTAGTTTTTCTCTCTCTGTTTTGGCTGCTGAAAACTGAGTGACAGACAGGTGGCCCACCTCAGGCAAGTATATGAGGTTGCTTGGGGAGTCAAGAGGAGGGCAGTTTTGTTTTGAACTCACTTTTGGCTCCACTTTTATGCCTCTACTTTTGTTAACCCTGTATCTCTTACATCTCATTCTTTTATTTTAAAATGAAAAACATTTCAAAATGCCTGTTGAAAAATTACCTTAGTTATACCTACTTAAAGAAATTTAGAAACTATAGTTATGGAAAATAGATAACACCATGATACATGTGCAGGTACGAACGCCCCCACTCTCCCGACACCCCCAGAATGGGTTGGTTCGTACTTGGCAGGATATTTTATAACTTGCACTTTTCACTTACTATATATAATGAAAACCTTGGGTGTCAATAAATCTATTTAAACTGCATTTTTAGTGAGTCAGAGTTTTTTATTGCATGAATGTACCACTGTTGATTTAACCAATTTTTGAGACGTGGTCAGTTTCTGATTTTTCAGCTTAACAATACTTTTCTGTAAACAGCCTTATAACTCATCCTGGCCCATGTCCTTATTTCCTCAAGTCTCATCCCCAGAAATGTCACCTACTTCTACTTTATATTCTCTGGTTATATTTTACACTATCTGTGAAAACTGCACTAATTCTTTACTGAAGGAAGATATAGTAGAAATAAGCAAATGTTTAAAAATGTAAGTTCACATTAAAATAACTACAGTGGAAAGAATACTTTTTGACTGGATACATAAGAGTAGAGACTTAAAAAGTTAAGTTTTTCCCTCTCGCTCTTCTCAATGCTTCATAACCTTTATAAAGACTCTTATATTTCTCAACTGATAAGAGTTATGGATCCTGCTTTAAAAGACAAAACTTCTTCCAAACAAATAAAAAGGGCTGATGGGCTAAGAGGCTATAGGATAAATAGGATTCACATATTTGAAAATGGTTCGAAACAAACCCAGTAGAAAGATAGGTATCAGCTTTTCTAAAAGGTTCAACAGACCAGCGCACTCAAAGCTCCAGACTGTCAGATATGAGGAAATCACCTTTGCGCCAACCTCAGATGAGGGGAGGGAGACCACTGGGATGGAACAACACCCCTGATCTCACTGCCCTGTTCCTGCAGGCCCAGGAAAGGTCAAAGTGTAATAGACAAGGCCTAACAACAGTGTCACTGCAGGAAACTAGGGGCCTGACCCCGTCTTACTAACAGATGGTCCCCTGCGACAAGCTCCCCAGAGCAGGTTCTTAACCTGGGGTCCATGGACCCTAAGAAGTCCACTAGAGAATTCAGGGTGTTTATAAACTTAGGAACACATTTACATCTTTGTTTTCACTAACTTCTAACTAAAAATTAAGCATTTCCCTTCCATTATAATATAAGCAACAAATCACAGTAGATTAACAGCACCTGCAACTGAGTCAGAAGTCACAGATACTTTCATAATATAGTACAATTATTACAGACATCTTGAAATATACTATTTCCAAATTAAACCAGTGACCAACCCAGCACTGTAACTTCTTACTTACAGTGTTAACAAAGAAATATATCACAATGCCTATTATTATTATATCTTAATTTTTAATACTTGAACTTCACTAACTGGTTTCCTTTTAATCCCACATATTTGACATGTATGCATTTAAAGCTTTCTGGGTCAGCCAAAGAGATGGATAACAGCAAATCAGTGGACGGCCCCTGCTTCAGAGCAACGCGGCCCATGAAAACACATTGGCAGTGATACTTGGGAAGTTAAATGAGTCACTTAAAATCGGAAAACACAGGCAGTATGTCTGATGCCTCCCCAGATGTGACCTTCGCTGAGAACAATGTCATCTGTTGAAATACTTTACCTCTGGTCTCCACAGCGTGGATGCATTTCTTGATAATGCTGAAGCCAATGGTGTCCAACTGTGCAGCTAAAAGAGGAAGAGAAGAGAGTCAAGTTGTTGGCGGTACAAACCAACCGTGGGACAAGACATGACCAATCCAAGATGACTCAGTCCCATGGTACGGCCATATATCCTTTTAACTTTTCCCACTAAAGGTACAGGAATGATTTTAAAAAATATCTGGTATTCACTGAAAGCTTACCACATGTGGGTACAGTTCTAAGTGCTTTGTGCATATTATCTTATTTAATTCTCATAGTAATTCTGCAAGATTACCCTAAATGTCTAGCTGAAGAAACTGCAGCATGAAGCAATGTGTTAGCCTTACCAAAGGAACAACTAGGCATCCTTTAAATTGTTTGGTTAATGTCAGGAACTAGAGGGCTGCTTGACGGTCTCCTTCAAAAAGCATAAATTAGCCCTGGCCAGGTAGCTCAGTTAGTTAAAGCACCATCCTAATACACCAAGGTTGCAGGGTTGATCCCAGTCATGGCACATACAAGACTCAGCCAGAGGATGCATGAAGAAGTGGAGTGACAAATCAGTGTTTCTCTCTCTCTCTCTCTCTTTTCCCCTTTCTCTCTAAAATTAATTTTTAAAAGGCATAAATTAAGTGCTCAATAAATGTTGGACAAGTGCTTGACATAGATTATCTCCTTTTTTTCCCTAGAAAGTCCTCTAGGCTGATATCATCATTAGCCCCATATTACAGATGAAGAAGCTGAAACTTGACAAAGCTAGATATCTTGATGAAACTGCAGCTCTAATATGTAGGAGACTCTCCCTAGAACCCATGTGACCTAACTGCCTTAAATGTGACCCTGAATTACTTGGCAGGCTGTTTTATAACTGCCAAGGCAGGAGAGAAGCAAAATCCTGCTCATGTTACCAGGAAAAAAAAGACCCAGAGGAAAATTAAAACAGTCAAGAACAGAGAAGCTACTCAAGGGAGAAGAACTAAGGCAGTAAGTAGAGTCATCCTCTGTGTGGTAAATCAGCAGGTGGTGACAGTGTTCTACGTGCTCCAAAACCCATTAATGTCACTCAGAAAATAAATGCTCAACAACAACAATTTTTTCCACAGTGCAGAACCAACTTCCACCCTGGCAACAAAGCTGGAAACCCACCAAAATTCATATCCACACTCTGGCTTCCCAGCGATAAGATGTATGTGCTAATCTTTAAGAATGGGTTCGTCTTTGACCTCTTAGGACATCAGGATCAAACATTCTACAAACGAATGTCCAGAGTAGAGAAGGAAATGGTAGAAAATAGGAAGGTGAGTATTTATAAATGATCTGTCATCATCCCAGGGCAGGAAAGCAATGTGTATAATAAGAGAGCTGAGCAGAACTTGAACTCACCTTGGATCTAATCCAAATGAAATCTTTCTCCAATTCCAAATGTCTATGAGTAAATGTAGATCCAATGAAGATAAAAATCCTTTAAAAAATATCACTGAGAATTCCCCAAATCAAACTAGAAAGGAATGCTAATTTCCCAAAACTTCTCTTCCCAAAGGGAAATAGCTCTTGTTCTTACATGCATACTTAGCACTTAGTGGTACTTATTATAAACACACTTGGTCTCTAGGATGGTAAGTAAAGTACCAGGAAAGGAGGAAAACAGTGTTTTTCTCCCTGGAGACCAAGTGCTATACAAAACTATTGCTCTTATTCCATTAAAGCTGTAAACAGCCTACCAACTCAACCCCTTGCTTGTTCTAGTATGAACCAGGTATTTACTTGGCAAATTGTGTAACAGCAAGTTTTCTGACTGGAAGCGGTAAGCCAGATCAAAATTCTTCTTCCAAATGAAACTCAATTAACTCATGCCACAGACATTTCCCAAACTTAAAGCAAATTATAATACACAGGCCAAATACCTATTAGAATCTAGGGGAAGGTTTTTGCAAATAATAGCTTTATTGAGATATAATTCATATATCATAGAGTTCACCCACTTAACACTTACAATTCATTGACTCCTAGTATAGTAACAAAGTTAAGAATGAATCATCACTATCTAATTCTGTAACATTTTCAGTACCCCCCACAAAAACCTCATATACCTAAGTAGTCACTCCCTATTTCCCCCCTTACCTCTAAACCCCAGAAACTACTAATCTACTTCCTACCTCAGATTTGTCTATTTTGATCATTTTATGTAACTGGAATCATACTATATGTGGTCTTTTGTATCTACCTTCTTTCATTTAGCATCATGTTTTCAAGACTCATCTCTGATGTGACATCAATACTTCATTCTTTTTATGATGAAATAATATTCTATTGTCTGGATATACCACATTTCATTTATCCATTCACCAGTTGTTGCTTCCGCTTTGGGCTGTTATGAATAAATGCAGTGAGGAACATCTGTCTACATGCTTTCATTTCTCTTCAGTATATGCCTAGGAGTGAAATTGCTGGGTTATGAGGTAACACTATGCTTAACTTTTTTTGAGAAACCACCAAACTGCTTTCTAAAGTGCTGCACTATTTTATGTTCCCACCAACAATGGATGAGAGTTCCAAATTTTCCACATCCTTGCCAACATTTGTTATTGTATTTTTTATTATTGCCATCCTAGTGGGTGTGAAGTGGTATCTCATTGTGGTTTTGATTTGCATTTCCCTGATGACTAAGTATCTTGGGCATCTTTTTGTGTGCAGCGGAGGGTTTTCATTCCTTTATACAGTAGTTAGAATAGAGCCTACTAGAATGTATTTGTCAGAGGGGAAATTACTTTTAAAACTTAAGGAGATTTTCAAAATGTTCATAACTGACTCAACAGTCAATTGAAGCCTTTTACTTCTTCTTTAGAGAGGTTCTTAAGAGGTTCTTGCATAGGGGCGATAGTCAAAGAAGCTTGGGAAGAACTGCCATTCTGCAGAGTACTCTGGGGAGCTGCTGAGGCTGATTCCAACATGTTTTAAGAGTAGGTTTGTAAACACAGAATTGATGAACTTTTCTATCCAGACCAAAAATTATTTTGCTTCCTTACCCCGTGAACACTGATTAAAGTTTTGGAAAATTGGAAATAGCCTGGCAGCTGATAGCAATGAGCCCAGTCACAAGATACATGCTCATAAAGCCATTAGCACAAGTAGCTGAAGAAATATTGGACAGAGCTAGACCAACCTTACAGAGGCAGATCAGTCCTTGGACCTTTCCATGTGGAACTGTGGGAAGCCAGATCCTTTCCTAGGTAAGTAATAGGTAATGGAAGAGAATACAATAGCACCTTCCAAGTACATCCAGAAAAAATTAACTTCTACTAACCTACATTAGCTACAATTACATCTTTTCAAAAATGGCAAAGCAAAACCCCTCCAAAAAATCTGAGTAAATGTTTCCTTTGATTTTACCAACATTGTAAGTTCTCCAATTTGTTCTAAAACAGCAAACCCCTTTTCTTTAAATCAATCTTACACAGATATTATACATAAAAGCCTTACATGTTACACATGTAATGTAGTATTTATTAGAATATATTAGTTCAAATGTATATAATGCAAAGCCCATTTGTAAAGACATATTGCAAAGTCAAATATTAAAAAAGCTCAAGGTAACTCTGCTAGCCTTTAATGTGTCCAAGTTGCATGGTGATGCTAATTATCACAAATATTGCGTTAAGAAATGGAATTCCTGTCAAACCACGGTGCCCAACAAGAAACTCACAAAGTACAACTTAAGTATCACCGCTCTAAATCTCTAAACTGGAACTGGTAAGTTATATCACTGCCTGCAGCCCCACACTTCCCTGCATCTCAGTCTCTCCATCTGTGTCTGCTACACACGCGCGCACACACAGGTCTGACTTCTGCTCTCATCAACCTGAATTTCCTGTGACGTCATGATTAGGTTACAATGATTAACAACTGCTTTATTATTTAATATGTACTGAGTACCACTAATATGATAGGGACTACCGTGCATACATAGCAAGTCATTAGTCCTAATCTATGCCTAGCAGATTCCTATTCTAAGTTAATTGAGATCTCCTACTCTGAAAATCGAGTTCCCACTAGAAGGTTTAGAACACCACCACCACCGAGCAGTCCTCTAATGACAGAAAAAGTCTGAGCAACCCGACAGATGGAAACGGCTCTCCTTAATCCCCTCAAGCAGGTGATTCAGCTCTTTCACTGAGCCAAGGCTCAGAAAAGGTCAGGGATTTATTTGCAATTTCTGTATCCTTATAATCTCTAGAAATAATCTCTCATTAAATATCTACTAGGCTTGCATTTTTCCCTTAATTTGACTTGCGATGAGTTGTTGCCGGAACTGTGACTCCTATGCCTGGCATCCACTGTCTTGTGGCTAAAGCTTATCTTCTTCCTCAGCCTCAGGTTCAGCTCTGCCCAGATTTACGCACAGGGCAGCCCAAACAGCTGTCAAATAATGAATACTCAGAGACTGCACCAAATACCCAGGTTGACCCGCCAAGTTAGAAATGTGTCATCCTCTTAACTTTCATTTCAACTTCGGAAGCTCTGTGTCTTTGTCGCCTTTTAGAAAAAGGGCCCAGGTCACACGAACCTGTTTTTCAAAGTCCTATGGAGAACATGAGAACTGTGGAGAGGGGGACTGACGCTCGGTCAGCTTGGGGAGTCTGAGGGCAGCAGAGGGAGGATGGCGCCTGGCAGCCCACTCACGACTGTGCTCCATGCCTGGGGTAAGAACTCTGAGACCAGGGAGGCAGGTAAGTCCAGAAACAGACTGTTTTGTTGTTTAAGGAACAATACACTACAAGATGCAATCAAATTATTTTCTTGTCTAAAAGAAGGAGGTTGGTGGGTCAGGTAGACAGAAATGGATTTTTTTAAATCCTCACCTGAGGAGATTTTTTCATTGCTCTTAAAGAGAGGGGAAGGGAGAGAGAGAGAGAAATATCAATGTGAGAAAGAAGCATCAATTGGTTGCCTTCACGGGCACATATGGGGAATGAACCGGCAACCTAGGAATGTGCCCTGACTGAGAATTGAACTGGCAGTCTTTTGGTTACAGGATGATGCTCCAAC